TCTTTTAAGACAAATGAGAGTGAGCTCATTCCTTTGGGGAAATGAACGGCCCCTTGTCTTTAATATGCAAGTGATGTTCATGGATGTCTTGCACCCAGGGCCACTTTGGTAATTTATGTTCCCTCCCTGGCCCCCAGGAACATTTGAGTTTGCAACTGCTGGTTTAGGGCATGCTTTTGCTATCTTATTTATTAAACTACTCAACATTAGGAGCACTTAGCTCATCAAAAATGTTTTAAAATTTCTCTAAGTGACAAAAGCGTAAATCCAAAAGCAATTTGTCATTTTTATAAGCCCAGAAAATACCAAACTGATTTCCTCATAAAGATCCTGCCATCAGCTTAATGGATAAACTATTAGTTTACAGAATAAAAACAGTCCCAGAGTTAGGAGTCTCCTAATGCGCTGCTTATTTATAGACATAATTGGATTGAGGGACCTCAGTCATGACACCATAAACACTGAGTATACCACAACATGTATATAACTATGATACCAAATTCATCCTATATCAGTGTTTTTCAGAGTATGATCTGGGGAGACATATTGCATATGTCCGTAGTACATGTGGGTGGGTAGGGGGTAGATTGTATGGTAGGGGCAACTTATATGGTGGTACAGGTTGTGCACTGAACACCTCTACAGGGCATGACTGACATAGGGAAGGACAGGAATGATTTCTCCTGGAGTTCTGCCAACAGTGGCTCTGGGAATGGCCATGTTAATTCAGCTTAGGGTCCCTCACATCTGTGGCTCTGATACCCTCACTTCTTCAGCAGTTGTAAGAAATTTCCTTATCTATTTTTTCATCTTGGGCTTTCAGATAAGCATTAAACTGAGGAAACATTCTATGTTTAAATATAAATTTGAAAACCACTGTGCCACATGGTAATTAAGAGGGATTTTTTAAGCTAAAGTGATTTTGTCAGATTACTAAATAGCTTTCCATTGAATGTGCCACAATTAACCACCAGGAAGGACAGTTTTCTCTTAAAACCTCTATAAACATACTGCATTTTCTTCCAATCATTTTTAAGTATATATATATGTTCATGATTTTTTTTGTTTTATGAATTTATGATAACACTAAACATAATTTTGCATTTTGACTCTTTCATATATTAGCATTTTCTATGTTTTCTCTAGTTGAAATCATGATTTTTCATGTCTATATAACATTAAATCATATTGTTGCATCATGATTTATTTAAACAAAGCTCTATTTGGCATGTGGCTTTGGCATACGTTTTTCTTTCTCCCTCCCTCCCTCCCTCTCTTTCTCTACCAAAAATAATTTATTGTGTTTAAATCCTTGTTGTAGCCCTAATACTTTCCTTTAGTAAATTCCTAGGATCATCATTACAAGAACAAAAGGCATTACTATCTTTTAAGACTATCGGATGGAGATAAATATTAGGAAGAAGATTAAAGCGGATAGGGCAGAAGAGTGGGCAGGGAAGGGAGGCTGCTTAGGTAAAAGGACTAGTAGGCAAGATCTCTCTGAGGAGGGAACATTTGATCAGAGACTTGAATGAAAAGTGAGATTGAGCCATGAGGGTGCTTATGGGAAAGGCCTTCCAGGCAAAGGAATCAGCAAGCGTTAAGGCCCTGAGGTGGGTGGAGGTTTGCTTTGAGCTTTCTAGGACAGGAAGGAGTCCAGGAGGGCTGGAACAGAGGGAGCAGGGATTACTTGGGGGCATCTGAGTTGGAGAACTGATTGGGGGGCCAGACTGAGAAGGACTTTGTTAGCCTTGGTAAGGATTTGTGATTTCATTCTAAGTGAGACTCAAGACCATTGAAGGATTTTGAGCCAGAAAGTGACATGATCTGATTCCTTCGTGGAGAATCAACTGTGGAGGCAAGAATAAAAGCAGCTTACAGCCCAGGTAGTTAGAGGCAGTTGCTCAGGTACCAGAAAGGGATAATGGTAGAGTAGCAATCACAGAAACGCCCCATACTCTGCAAATTCAGCAAAAAACAAACCACAAAAATAAAAACTGTGTGTGTGTGTGTGTGTGTGTGTGTGTGTGTGTGTGTGTGTGTAGAATTTTAATCTTTGGTATTTTGATAGAAAAAACTTCATTATATTAACTTTCTTATGAGTGGTGTAGGATATTTATTCAGTTGTTTAATTGCCACGTGTCCCTTTTCTTCATCTTTATGCTGTATTATCAAGGATGGAGTTCTATCATTAGTGTATGAGAGCTTGAGCTCTTAGATTATGATTCCTCGGATCATCATATTTTCCCCCTTTTATCTGCCACATTTGTAGCAAATATTTTCCTAGTTTGTTGGTTTAATTTTGTGTATGGTTTATTCTTATATAAGTTTTCAATTTGAAGCCAAACCTCTACTTGATGATGGTGGTTTTGATTTCTTCTGAGCTGAAGTTCCTCCAGGAAAGCTTTCTTTGATTTCCAGGTGCTGGGACTCTTTTGGTTTCGGTCTCCAGAGCTCTTTCTGGCTGTTTACTCAGTAGAGATCATTGACTTCTGGGTCAGAACTGCCTGACTTTACCGACCAACTGTTTGTGGGGAACTGTGGTAAAGAAGACCTAGGTGGGGACATAGGGAACAGCTTTCTGGGTATCCCAAATAGCCAGAGGAAGGGAATGAACAATCGGAAAACCGGGCAATTTACATGCAGAATTTCTGAACCAGGAGAAGGGAGTAGAACAGAAGCTCCCCAGACCTACTTTAAGCAGACCAGCTTGTTCTTTCCAGTGACATAGCTGTGATGGTGATGATTTAAAAAAATCCATCCCTGTTGGCCTTACAACAAGCATTTCATCCCAGATATCAGTGACAGTGTGACTCCCAGCTCTCGTTTTCTTGTTGCGATGTGGATTGACTTCTTTATTTCCACCTTACCCATTAACTCTAAGATCCATGAAAGGAGAGGCTATGCGGGTGGATTTTGTGTATCTAGCTTCACCCAACTCTCCAGACCCCCTCTGATAGCCAGTGTGTGTTTGAATATTCATCCGTGAAGAAGTGAATTACTATAAAATATGCAGTGTCAGTGGGGAACGGAGGGTATTTTTTCACAGACTGGGGGTCAGATGTGTTTTAAAATCCCTTCCACTGTCCTGCTTTGTTAAACAGAGCAGTGCTTTGGGGAATAGGGGGTCATCATTAGTGCCTGTGCCTCCTCCAGCCTGGGACGTGGTGACGCCTTCAGCAGCTGCCAGGAACTCTTGGTGGTCAGGCTCACTTCTTTACTTCATGGGCCCTGAACCACATTCCTTTTTCTCCTCTTCCTGATATGTAAAAGCAGTTCTCAGATCTCTTCTTTTGGCTTTTTTGTGTCACCTTATTTTCCAAAATTGACCTCTTGGGGGGTACCTTTTGGATGGTGATGTTTTTGGTACTCTGAACTCTTGTTTAATGGGGTAAATTTCATCATAGAGACCAACAAATCCTTATAAAACCAAATTGTACAACAGATATCACTTGTTTATTGGTAAATTAGAATTCCTTAAATTTAATTCCTTAATTCCCAAATTCCTTAAATTTAAACAGGAATGAGGCATCTTATTCCAAAGCCAGCTTTCAATCATCTGCATCCCCCAATGCATTTGCTACTGTGTGGTGTCTCTTTGGTGTAGTCACTGCTATTGCTTTCTGTGTTACATTATGGTTTTGATGTGTCTGTTAATTTTCTGTGTATAATATACTCTGATACCTAGAGCTAAATGGTTATTGTCAAACAAGATGCATCTAGCACTACCAAGATGGCACTAGAGAGTGGAGATATTGTTTAGATACAGAAGCAGAGGACACAATGGGAAGGCAGGCAGTTAGTTCAGGGGTGAAATTGGCCTGCTTTGTAAAATAGGGGCACTAAGGGTGGTGCACTCCATCTGGGGAGAAGGTGAGGATCTAGGGAACAGAAGGTTCCATCTCTGTCTTCTCCAGGTATCCAAGGAAAGTGACGTTTGGACCAAGGGTAGGATCAGAGCAGAACTGGAAAGAGGAAAATAGGTTCTCTGGGAGCAAACTAGAGAAAATAAATCAGTGATGGGACTAGCTTGTGCCCAGAGAATGTTAGAAGTCTGCTCCTCCAGAGGAGAAGCTGGGCCTTAAATGTGCCGGGCATCTAACCCAGCCTAAATGTCTGTTGGATCATTGAAGGAGTTACATAATTGATCACCAGAGAAATGTATCTCCAAGACTAGAGAACACTGAGATTTGGGTTTTACTCCCTATGATTGCCCAAATCTGTATTGTATTGGCCTTTATACATTATCACACCTTTTTAAAAAAATTTTTTTAAATATTTATTTTAGAAAGAGAGTGCGAGCAGGGGGAGAGGTTGGGGGGGGAAGTGGGGGAGCAGACTACCCCACTGAGCACAGAGCCCCGAGGCAGGGCTCAGTTCCAGGACCCTGTGAGCTTGACCTGAGCTGAAACCAAGAGTTGGATGCTAAACCAACTGAGCCACCCAGGCGCCCCATCACACCTTTCTTAAAATGTGTTTAAATGCAAACATTGACCTGAAACCTTGTCTGACAACATAAATATCCTCTCAGCACAAAGTTCTGCATATATGTTGTGTTGACTTTCTGAGCTCCATATTAGACTTGTCATGGAAACAGGTGTCATCATCAGAGTTGCAATAAAATGAAATATAACAAAATGACCTAATTGTAGTCCCCTCTTTTCTCTCTTCCACTGCCTTTTTAAAAAATGGGTCAAAGTCAGTACATATTTGTGTTCTTTTCCTGCCTCCAGTTTATTAACTCGAGTGAACACTGATTCATTTCCTGAATATGCCAAATTGGCTAAATAAAAGGGATGGGATATGGAAAAATCATTCAGTTCATTTCCTGAATATGCCACATTGGCTAAATAAAAAGGGTGGGATATGGAAAAATCATTGCTGTTACTCTATATGTTAGGAATGTCTCTCTCCCCCACACCAGAACTACTCACCTAGCAATTCCAGAAAAGAGTTCTTTTTCTTTTTAATGACCAGTAGATGTTCCTGTCTTCTTATAGGTGGAATGGCTGAAAAATGAGGAGCCCATTGACTCCGAGCAAGACGAGAACATTGACACCAGGGCTGACCACAACCTCATCATCCGCCAGGCACGGCTCTCGGACTCAGGCAATTACACCTGCATGGCAGCCAACATCGTGGCCAAGAGGAGGAGCCTGTCAGCCACAGTGGTGGTTTATGGTAAGACCAGCCCAAAGGCCAGGAATGGATAGGGAGGATGGAAAGCGGAGAAGTAGAGGGATGCGTATTACATTACAACTTTAGTTGTTGAGAGCTGAAAGGACTTTAGGGGTCATTCACTACTGTGCTCTCTCCTGCCTCTCCCATTTGGTGGCGGGAGAACACATGCCTACTACCACTGGTGTGTTTGCTCTTCCCTCCAGTACCGGACTTCCATGAGATAGGGACATTTCTGATCTCTCTTTTAAAAAGAATTTTAAAAGTCATTCATTTTCTCCCATTGTGTTAATATTTGAAAAGAAGCAAAGTGGGCACCTTCTGCCTCCCACCCTCCCAAATCCAACATCCACCGCCATCCTCCCCAGACCTGCTCTGGGCACTTCCTCTCCTGGCATGAGAAATCCACCAGAAACAAACATTACTATTTTCTGAATATCTCAGGCATCCCGTAGAGGAACTTCCCAGCTATTTAAATAAAGGCCTTCCCTTCCACAGCAGAAGAGCCCTAGGATTTATTTTTGAAGCACTTAAAGTAATGGAACTTCAAAGGCTGATATTTTCTTCCTGTACTCTGGATTTTCAAGTGCTTTAGAGATGTGTTGATGACTTCTTCCTGTTTTTCATAATTTCCCACAGAGGAAATTCTCTGGGTCCCTATCCTATCAGATGAGTAGACTGAGGGACAGAGGTGAGGGGAGCCCCACTGTTGCCTCATGATGGAGCAGCCAGTGTGGGTCCGCAGGGTCTCTTGGTCCCTGGATGCCGAACTCACAGCACCCGGCGCGGCGGCTTGCACATCGTAGGCAATCAGTAAAAACCTCTCTCCTTTCTTTCCCCCTCCCCACTTCTCTCTCTCAGTGAATGGAGGCTGGTCTTCCTGGACAGAGTGGTCAGCCTGCAATGTTCGCTGTGGTAGAGGATGGCAGAAACGTTCCCGGACCTGCACCAACCCAGCTCCTCTCAATGGTGGGGCCTTTTGTGAGGGAATGTCAGTGCAGAAAATAACCTGCACTTCTCTTTGTCCTGGTGAGATATGTGTAGATTCCCTTTTCCCTTCTGACCCACCAATACTAGTAAGCTGGTGGGAAACAGTGAATAGAACCTTCCTTCCCAAAGTTATTCTCTCCCATCTTCTCACAATGCAGCCTTTGTCCAAAATGCTAGTGTGGACCTCACTAGGGTAGCAAGAACATGGGCGAGATACCTCCCTTTGGGAGTAAATATATATATTCAATATTTACATGATCCTGGACACTCACCATCAAGAAGCCAAAGGCTTTGAAGTATTTCTATATTATCCGGGTCTGATTGGGCTAAACCCTCCCTTCTCTCCTTGGGTTCTCCCATCTGGTGGTACTTACTTGAACAATAACGGGGTTGGAGTTGTCCGTGAGCACAAAGCAGGTAGCAAAAATTTGACCCTTTTCCATCCAATCAACTCACCTTCTCAGCTTTGTATTTGTTTCCAATACATTTGGCACAGATGATACAGTATCACAGCAGTTTCTATTTTACATGTGGTCTGTGTTTGCCTTCCTTTCTGAATAGAGGCTTCGTTGACCAAATATGGCTCTTATAAGCTCTTTCTGGTTCATCTCTTACTGGCTCTAACCCAATTTCTACAATGAGGAATAGATGAGATGGAAGATGACTTTCTTTATGGAAAGCATATCCTCCCACTGAGAAATAAATGGATCCTGGGTCTCACATGCATTATACAACATTAACTCCAAGGACACTGGACTCAAGCCTCGGGTCTTTAAAATTTCAGATCTAGTTCTGCTCAGAGCTAAGCTGAGCCTCTCACCAGCAGCTTATGCTTGGAGTTTCATTTTAAACTCATATTCGATAAACATTTATTGAGTGCTTACTATGTGCAAGATATTTGTATACATGTAATGTCATTTAACTCTGTGTTGTGAGTTTTATTAGCCCCCAGTTGACAGAAATAGTAAACTAAGGCTAAGGGATTGCCCAGGAGCCAATATGTGAACACAACCAAGACAGGTTGTTGGACATTTTGCTTCAAGTTCAGTATTTTTTATGTTACTCTCTTCTTGACTAATTGCTCTAGATTAAAAATTGCACAATCTATCTTAACCCACATAAGCGTGGTTGGACTATTCCTAGGAGGTAATGGGACAATTGCCTCCAACAGCTCCCATAATCTCTAGGGTCAAGTTTTAGTGGAATTAAAATCAGTTTGTTCATTTCTACATAGAGCAGCAATCTGTGATCCACGAAATTCTATTTATGTAAGCCCCGGTATCTTGGGGTTTGACTGACCTGTTTTACTTTAATACTATCAATATATATAGGTTTAACTTCTTATTGTTTAGGGCTTTTAGGGCTTAAAGATAGTTCATTCTACTCTCTGTTCTAAACTGTCAACCCCCAAGGAACTGGTAGTTACCCCCACATACTTTATCCATCTAAGATGCACCTGGGCATGCAAGACTGGGAAAGAATGGGTAATGACATTATTAGCCACCCCAAGGGCATCGATCATGCGAATGCTTGCCTAAATTCAGTAACTGGTCTCCTCCAGAAATAGCCAGAGAATTACACCACTGCTTCTGTTAGCCTCTGTCTTTAGGAAAGAAACCATGGAGAGAAGATAAACAGAAATTATTTTGTTTTGTTTTTTTTTTTTGTGGTAGTGGTGATTTCTTTAAAATCTAGCTATAAGAACAACAGTAGTCCTGGGGTGAGTCTCCTGACATCTGCCTGCTTCGTTCTAATGGTGGTTCCTTTTGTTTCCCTTGAAGTGGATGGGAGCTGGGAAGTGTGGAGCGAATGGTCAGTCTGCAGTCCAGAGTGCGAGCATTTGCGGATTCGGGAGTGCACGGCCCCACCCCCAAGGAATGGGGGCAAGTTCTGTGAAGGGCTAAGCCAGGAATCTGAAAACTGTACAGATGGTCTCTGCATTCTAGGTAACACCTTCTGTTTCACATTTTCAGTGTTTGTCCACAACATGAAAAGAAATGTCGTGACCATTCATTTGCTTGAACACGTTAGCAGGAAGTGAAATCGTTCTCCAAGAGCAAAAAGAAAATGAGTGAGAAGAGTAAAAAAGTAGCCAAATACATTTTTAGTAGCGATGGGGTCATTTTAAATATTGTATCACTGTAACTTCCATAAAGGTGCATACTTATTAATCTAACCAATAACGTTTTAAGAGAGCTGATTTAAGAAAATGGTTAACCTTGCTTTTTAGCTTAGCAGTTCTTTTCTTTTGCTAGCCCCCATTTTAAAGTTTGGTGACATTCTGTTACTGATCACCATATGCTTTTATTTCTGCCAAGAATTTCACAGTACTATAAAGCGTTTATTATTCTATATATATACTTTATATTTTATAAATTTTGTATTTTATTATACGCAAACAATCATGGAACACTACATCAAAAACTAATGATGTAATGTATGGTGATTAACATAACATAATAAAAGATAAAGTAAATATATATATATATATACATATATATATATATATTTTACTATACTTATATTTTAATAATTTCCAGAGACCATGGCTCTGTGGCAAGGGACATGTGTTGTGACTGTTACCTTATAAATGGGGAGGGGGGAATGACGCTTGAGATGGGTGGTTTTGTATCAAAATACAATGTTCAGTTCAAAACTCCCAAGCCTCTGCTTTATTCCTGAGGTTATACTATTACCATCTCCAGGTGACAGTCTGCCTGGGTAAGAAAGTATGGGAAGATCAAAGCATCACATAGACAGGTTTTAAATTGGTGCTGTCCCTTACTAGCTTTGTGACCTGGACAGGTCACCTAACTGCTTAATTCCTCCGACTATGTAAGTACCAAAACTTGGTTATTGGCAAGACTAAATGATAAAAGAATATATGTGAGTATTTCATGGCACAGAGTAGGTGCTCAGTAAATACTTAATCCCTTCCTCACTTGCCTACTCAGATGAGTGAAGGTATATTGATTTTGCTTAGGTCCTTAAGAAACAGGAGATTCAGGACACACTTATTCTCTAGAACTAAGTAGCCTTCCTGGAAAATAGCCAGCAAAAAATAATATAGCTCAATAGTTTGTCATCTTTTCAGGAATATGTGTCGCTTTTTATTTGGGAAAATGACAGTATGAAGGGAATGTCTAAGTTGTATTTACTTTTCTGCATCGGTATGTTTGGGTAGCCTTCAGAGCAAGGATATTCAAACATGCTGTTGTATTTTCACAATAAATCTAGATGCTTAAAACATTAGTTAAAATGATTAATACTTTGAAATGACCACTTATTGATGCCCATAGTGCCTTTATTTTCTCAATCCAAGTACTGAAGGCCCCACACATGTCAGATTCACCCTCTCTAGTACTCCAACCATTGGCCTTCCTCCAAATGCCTTCTCTCTTCCAAAATGTAAGGAAACTTAACACAAACTCAGTAGCAAGAAGTTTAAGGAAATGTGTTTTTGACTACCCTTGACTACCACCATATTTTCTGAAATAGACCTTTGAGGTCTATTTTCTTTTTTAAACACAGAGCCATATATTTTGATACAGTTAGGACTGTGAATCTCAGCTGTCTTCTAAAGAACCACTGACAATATAAATCTTTGGCTACTGGCTGAATTTTAGATGATCATAGTAGTAATCCTCTCTATCAACCATTGATGAGACTTGCACCTGGGGGAAAATCTATGGCTAAAACTTAGTCTTAAGAGGCACTGCTGGAAGCAGACAGACAATGGTTAGCCCTTAAGGGAAGAAAGAATTGTCAAACATGTGCATATTATTTATTCACGCTTGTATTGTGGTACATAGGCATTTGTCATTTGAGTAAGAGTTCTCTTTAGGGCTGAAAGGAATTACCAGTCCTGAAAGTGTACTGGTCAGCCTAGACCTCAAGTCTCAAATCTGAGAACTGTATTAAGGGGTGTGTGTGTGTGTGTGTTTTATATTATATACATATATATATATATATATATATATATACACACT